GGCCCACTCCGCCGCGACATTCAGGCCTTCCTGCGGGGCCGAGTGGAGGACACACCTACCGATGTGGCGCGTGGTGGGGGCGCTGCCATCGGTGAAGAAGCCATGGCGGACAAAAGCGCTGCAGCAAGATGGGCACTGTGAGTAAGCCCGTGGCGTTGATGAACAGGAAGGGGCCCCAACACTGCTCCCAGCGGAACTCTTCGCGCGAACGTTGCGCGAGAGGCGGTGGCTCGGCCGATGCCAAGCCCGGCGTGCCTGTTGCTTGGGGAATGCCACCCACCAGTTTACAGTGTGGCAAGCAACCGGCATTCGCCGCATATGTAGGAGGATTTTGTCGTGGTGCACTGCACCGGCGGATTTGGCGTAGTCCAAAGCGACGGACTCCGCAGGCTCCTGCGGGGTGTTCGCGCCGGAAACCAGATCGCCGCAGGAAGCCACTTGGGACGCCGTGGCGTCGCAGGCGCCAGCGGCAAGAATGCGTTCCACCAGATTACCGAGGCAGCTGGCCGGCTCTGTGGGACTGTCCCCGTGCAAGGGCTCCTGTTGGGGTGGCTGAGGGCGCAAATCCCCGGGCGCCTCCTCGCTTCCACCGCGCACACCCTCACAAGATTGCTTTGCTTCCTGGTGCGTAGCGAGCATAAACCAGCGGCTTTTGGCGGCGGCGCCGTCCAACTCCGTCAGCTTGGGGCCCAAAACGATGGCTTCCGGCGGCTCTCTGCCGGGGCTGCCGCCTTGGCGCCCCCCCGTCTGCCCGGCGTAATTCGTTGTTCTGCGCTGCCCACGTTGCCCCCACGCCCCGTAGGACCCTGCGAAGCGGATTGGCCGTGTGGCGATATTTCCTCTGGTTGGCCTCCCCCGCGTAGACAAACTTCGGGAAGGCCCCGGTAGCCCAGCGGGCGCGCCATCGCCCCCACAATCTACACGTCAAATGCGATGATGTGGTGGACGCTGTCTGGCGAGGGCTTTGCCGCCAAATTGGGAGTGGCACGGTGGGGTCGGGCGCCGAGCCGCGGCGTCCGTCGACCAATCCTGCGCAGCCGCCCGCGTTGGTCACCTGGAAGCCTCTCCCAATACACCGTCGCGAAATGATCTCGCCGCGGGGTCCGGGCGGAATATTGCGACCCCAACCCACTGTATTTGCCTCGGCGTCTGCGCAGGGCAGCTTCTCCAACTCCAAGCTGGTGGCGCCGTCAGCTCCATTCCTGCCGCCGCCTCGGCAGGTGCGAGCAACGCCGCAGTGCCGAAACCCCAGCAAGCCGAAGCCACCTGCTTGGGTGGGGCGGCAACCGAGCCTCGCCCGAGCGAGACCCGCAACGATCCACTGCAACCCCCCGCAACCAAAGGCCAGAACTCTCACCAATACCGCCATTCAGCTGCCGCGTGGTGCGGGAAGCGCTGCCGACTGCACGGCAACGCGCGCCCGCCTCTCGCGTCACGGACTCGGCGGGCGCAGGATACCGCACACCACGACGGGCCGCAATCCAAGGGCGCCCTCGACCCCCAACATCACACCCGCCGCCTCCGCAAGCGGAACTTTTTGGCGCGTGCTGTATCAGAGACCGGCCGCGTGGCGGTTGGAGCAAATAAACCGCCGCGAATCCTCAAAGCACGGTTCACCCGGCGTGCCGTAGGTGTGGAGCATGGCGTGCCCCGCCGCGCTGCCGTCAGGCGCACCATCTTCTCGTAGCGCACAAACCCCGTCGTCGGCAGCAGTCCCCCGCCACCCTCCTGTGACCCAACAAAGTGTCTCACCAAAAGCTTTTTTTCCGACGCCCGCGGAGCCAACGATGGCAATCTTCAGAGGGCTAGAAAAAAGAGTGCGGGCTGCAGAAAAGAGGGAGAGCCCGCGACATCGCGCCATCTCCTTCCGGCAAACAAAGCCCAGAAGCTGCGTAAATCTGCACTGCGCATGCAGCGAAATGGCACGCTCTGAGGCGTCGGTCAAAGGCGTGTTGCCAAAGCCGGCCCCAAACGTCTGCAGAGGTTCCTTCTGCCGCTGAAGAAAGCGCCTGCAGAACGAACGCATGAAACTCTGCTGCCTCATTGGGGTCCTCAGCTGCATCTCCTCCTGTTGGCGCTCAGCCATATCATACTGGTACCAAATCACGTTGCCCCCTAACATGAGGTAAAGGTCGGCGGACACACGCGAGGCCTCCAGCACAGCAAGACATGCGTGCTCAAGTACGAGAGCGCCCTGACAAGAAGCGGCCACTGACACATTCTTATAGTTCGCCGCGGCGCCTCGCCACTCTCATCGCGACGCGGCACAACAAGCTGGATTTCGTAGTAGCACGCAGAGCAAATACGATGCGTCGTAACTGCTGCTGCTGGCAGTGCGGGGCAGTTGCGGTTGAGACTGGCAAAGGCGGAAAGAGCCCGAACTGCTGGGGTCCCCTCCCGCAGGTGTGTCACCGGCGAGATTCAGCACAGCTGGGTGGGTCGCAGTGAACTCCACACCCTCCGTCCAAGAGGGGGTACGATACGCGCGCGGGGCACCGTGGTGATTGCGGAACGTGATGGTACGTTCCCTAGCGCCCGCAGCGCCCATCAGGGCCGCGCAATCTCTGCTTATCCGGAGGCGCGCAGAGGCCGGTGCCGGAATGCCCTCCGTGGCCTTTCCAGCTCAGTCGGTAAATCTGCACGGCTCTTAACCGTGTTCTCGGGGGCTCCGTCCCCACGAGGGATGCCTTCTCCCTCGTCCTCCGCCGCCGCTTCTCTGCCGCCGTCGCGCATTTCTGTCGCCCCGAACGCCGGGCGGCAAAACAGGGCCGCGCGAGAAGGACGCTGAAGCGCCAGCCGGGCGTCCCGCATCGGCGGCTGTGGGACCTCCGCGCTGATACTTCGCGCCCCCTCTCTCCCCGGCAAACCGCCGCTAAGAAGAACAACGGCGAATGTGCCGCCCAGGAGAATCACTCCCCCTTCTCCCTAAGAATAATAAAAAGAACATAAATAAAAGGAGACTCGCAGCTTTTAGCTCTGCGCGCACCCAACGCCCCCACGCACCGCAGGGATCGCCCGCCACACACGCACTCCTGAAAAAAATGCATTAAGAAAAACACCTTTCGATTGCCGGGGCCGCGGGAGCCTCGAAGAGTGTCAGTTTGTTTGGGGCCAGGGCTGGAATGAAAAGAAAAGAAA